CATGCTGAACAGGTATCCTTTAGATCATTGTTTAGGGCTTTAGGCTCCCATATCAGGCTACTTAGCTTATCTCTTCAACAAACACTTCTTGGAACTTTACATGCATCTGTTAATTCACCTGGCTTCAGCTGTATGTTGCTAGTTTTTTTTTTTGTCCGCTGTGTTGATCACTGGTTATAAGTTGGTCGAATCATTTTAATTTTTGTCATGCAATACTACTGAGTTCCCACATTCTCAAGGTACTCGATGATCTTATGTCTCTAACTTTGGCTGTTGCTGCGATAGGTCTTGAAGAAGAGAGGTTTAGTTGATCAACTGTTGAAAGCTGCCACGGAAACAAAAGAAATCCAGGAAAGGTAAGTAGTCATCTTTCTTTACTGGCTAAATGAAGTAAATTATGTTCCTTTTCAGCTTTGCTGTTATATTATCATGACTCAAAATCCAATATGTTTTATTAGGGAACTTGAGCAACGTGCTTATGAAAAGCTCACTACAATGGCTTACCACAAATACATGGTACATTTCCTAACGAACCTCTGTGTATGCTAAGTCACTTGTTGCTACTGTTAATCTGGTATGCTTAATAGGATACTCAAAGCTAATACCATCCTTCAGTTGTTATGAGTGCATGATTTGGAAATAGGAACAGAACTTCAAAAGAAGCTAATTGTATTTTCTAAAGCAAGATCGCTGGATTGTGGACATAATGTGTGGACGAATATAGTGCAATTATTATTTGGTGTCCCAACTCTTGCTGCTTACCTCAGACAGCCGATATTTAGAATCATGCTCATTTGGTTTAAATTATGTTGGCTGCATTAGCTTCTGGTCTCAGTTTCAACTCCACATTTACTGCCTAGTCACATCCTTTATGTTCTTTCCATAAGTTTTTTGTATGTTCATTTTGCAAAAATTTCAGCATGATTTCAACTTGATAGAATGGATAATTAGTTTAAATCTTTCAACTGGATGTGTTCTCTGTATTAGTGTCTGGTGGAAACTGCCATCGTATTTGCATGTTCATTTTGCAAAATTTTCAGTATGATTTCACGATCCTGATTTCTTTAATAGGCTTGTTGGGGATCCACTGGCGGGAAGACTTCCAACAACAAAATGGCCAAGCAATCTGCCTTAGCATTTGTCAAGCGCACGCTGGAGAGGTGCTATAATTTTGAAGATACGGGTAACGGCTGCTTTAGTGAACCCATGTTTAAAGAAATGTTCCTCTCTGCACCTTCACAAGTCAATGGTTCACAAATGGTGGACTACACTGTGGATGCCGAACCTGCTAAACCATTTGTTACTGCCTCAAGCCGATTATTAGATTCCAGAGTTTCAGGTACTGTTGTCGACTTACGGTTTACTTTATTATTTTCGTGGCTTTCAACTGCTACCATTTGCATTTCTCTGGTCTTCCCTTGTGCTTTTTGCTTTTTCTGGTCATCTGGCGGAAGTTGGACTGTTATTTTTATCTTCTTTGCAGCTTCCACTGGGTCACAGCTAAGTCCTCAAACTTCACGACTTAGTCAGAATGGGGATGGCCATGTTGCTAATCCCTGTGACATGCTTCCACCTGTACATCGTGGATCTGGTAAAGAAGATACATGGTCAAATAGGGTGAAGAAGAGGGAATTGTTGCTTGAAGATGTTGGTGGTGGTACTACTGCTACCTCGTCAGGGATTGGAGGTTCTCTATTAAGCAGTACTAAAGGAAAGAGGAGCGAGAGAGACAGGGAGGGAAAGGGACACAACAGAGAGATATTATCTAGGAACGGAACAAATAGAAGTGGACGGCCGGCTCTGTCAAACTCTAGAGGAGAAAGGAAATCTAAAGCGAAACCGAAACAGAAAACAACCCAGTTATCTGTTTCTGTGAACGGCCTTCTGGGCAAGACTGAACATCCCAAACCAGCATTGCCCTCTGAGTCTAAGCGGACTCATCAGACTTCTGGCAGCAATGCCAAAGAAAAAGATGGGTTTGGTTTGGATGTACTTGAAGACCCTGATTCTCTTGATTTGTCCAATATTATACCAGGAATAGATGATGATGGCCAAGGACAGGATCTAGGTTCATGGTTGAATATTGACGATGATGGGTTACAAGACCTTGATTTCATGGGTCTTGAGATCCCAATGGATGACCTTTCGGACTTGAATATGATGGTTTGAAGTCTTTCTCCTGTATAGTCTTGTTCATTATATTATTGACAAACAAACATAAGCAATGTTATAAAGGAAAGGTGACCACTTACTTGTAAGGTCATTTTGCTGCCGGTCCACAGTTAGGTTATATAGATTCTTTTGTAGGGTTCACAAGATTTTCAAATGAATTTCAGATCCTTTTTATGCTCCTGTATCAAGTTAGTGACTCCGAATGTAAAGATCTCTGTTTAATGTTCAAGGTAGTACGTTTCAGTGTTTACGTCTAAGCAACAGCACTGTGTCGTGGCTGTAGCTTCTGCAAATCAGAGAACAGTGTCATTGTACATACATTTTATATTTCTAATAAGATGAGGTTTCCATTCAGTGTTACTTTTTTCTTTTTCTTTTCCTTTCTGGGAGACTAACTCATTTTGGAAATGTCCTTATCATTTTTCAGACGATCTTGTTGTCCTTTAAGATTTACTTCATTAACCTCTTGTAACAGCGTGGATTGCTGGGACATTCTATGTATACTATCCCCCTGTCAGCAAGGTAGTGCAATGAAAGATCTGAAAATGTTAGCACTGTCTGCTCTGCATATAGTTCTGGTTGCTGCATACTTGAGATTTTGTAAGGTTATGTCCTGCATAGTTATGTTCCAGACTGGGAAGATCTTTCCTGTTTCTCGTTATTCATAGTAACATCGTTCTGATTTTATTTTCTTCCATAGCTATTTGTTAGTTCTTTGCTGCAGATTTCAACTATCCATGAGATGCCCAGGTTCGGTCAAATCATGTTTCGTGTGCACAGTTGTTGCGACCACTGTGCCTACCTTGTAACTGAAAACCAATGTCTGCTTCTGACTAATGCTTATGATTTCAGAAGGGAATTATGTTCGTTAATGGTTTCTGCATTGGATCTGGATCCTCTGATCACCATATAGCTTCTCTGGTCCAAGTGAATCATGCATCGAATTGAAGATTGCGTAGGTCAGTATATTATTCTTATGGTCTGTGTGCTTATTGATGTCTTTCTCCCTTTTCCATTTTTCCTTGGATAAATATTTGCCAGTATTTATGATGTTAGTGGTGACTCACTATGAGACTTGCTCTGTCATCCTTTCCTTGGGCATATATCATTTGTGGACATATTGAAGTCAAATCAGCTACCGGTGATTTTTGTTCAGAACGCTGGAAATCACCATGGCATGTGGGTCGAGGTGGTCAGAATACCATTTTCATTCAGAAATTTTCTCTTGCCTCGGTTTGGTGCCACTTATGTGATAGACTTGGTTGGCTGGTTTTAGTCTCAGATTTGTAATCATTCTTTTCTGGGGAGGGTTAACTGTGAAATCGACTGATGCAGAAACATCCCTACGAAGGAAATTTATTCTGTTCAAGTTGTCTTGTGAATCTGGCTGCTCTTTTGTGTGGGTTTGTATTATATCTTCAATTGTTGGTTATGCTGGGTGGATTGTTTCACCATTACTTCACGGATCACCGAACAATATAGGTGAGAAGATCTGGGTTGAATTTGGTGGTGCTGGTGTAAGTAAAGAGGCTGTAAGTCTTTGTTTCATAATGCAAGAGCTTTATATTCTTTCGCCTCCTGTTCTGGTATCTTTCTGAGTTCGGTTTTATTATTCGAATAGGGTTTTTACAGAAGTTGTAGCTTTATTTGGTGGGTTCTTACTTGAGAAGAGATGTTGGCAAATGCAGGTCTCTGAATTCAGCTGTTACTCCCACATACGTTCGGTATTTGATTCTATCTTCTACCTTCCTCTGCTGTTGTTCATCTGCTATACTCACCATTCCGACCTCTTAGTTTAATCACGATTGGAAGTTCATGCTGATTGAGAGTGACCCTTTCCTCAGATCCCTTTTGATTAAACAACTTTGTTGTTATCCTGTGGATTAGTCTTTTCTTATGTATACAATGTTCTGGGATTCCAGGGTTGGTGTGAAAGCCTACTTGGAGAGATTTGTTTTCAGCCAAAGCCGAGATGTATATTGGACGTTGTCTTCGTGGGAATTAGTTGGGATCTCCTTATTGCTAACTGGTCTTGTTTCCACCACTCTTGAGGAACCAGACAGTTTCGGTTCTTCTTATAAAACATTTATGGTTAAGCAGAATACATTCATGGCTTTGGTAGAGTGGCAAGTCGTTGCAGGTCCTGTCATTTCAGGTTGCGAGTCGTTAATTGACGGATGTTAATTGCTCGCACTGGCCATGAACAACACCACTGTGCGCCCATTTATCATCGCCTTTCACTTGTGCCAGTCATTGGCTAAAGTGCATCAATAATGTTGTGCTGTTGTATTGAGAGTTGCGTGAGTTACCGCGAGTTACATCTTACTACAATCATACGAAAAATGTCTTAAATTAAAAGCAAACTCTCGCCCTTCACATACCCTCCAATCCCTCTGGCTATTTGCTCTGGCGAACCAGAGACATTATGTGGCCACTATAACGAACAGACAATCTTCTCCGTCGGCTGCTCGATTAATACTGGTTTTCCTTGTGCCACCACGGGCAGCATGAATCGAATTGTAAACAGCAAGTGCACCATTACCGACGACCTTGATGTTTTAACTTGCATATGCTTGTCCTTTCGCCACATTACCATCGCCTGGAAATTGCTCTGTTACATAGGTGATACATTGTCCCTGCAGACGAATACCACTGGGGATTCTGTGACTGCCGTAAATCTCAATCCAGCACCTCGCACCGAGAAATGTGTCTGCACAAGCATCCTTCTTCTCCATGTTTATGCGCACAAGTATTTGAGCTTACTGGACCTCTATGATCAAAGCAAATGGAGCCGGAAACAACGAATCAACCTTCTTACATTTTTCAACTCATCCCTGGGGAGGACTAGCCATGTCCTTGGACTTGGACGACAGCAGCTGCACCCTCTTCGTTAGATCTCTCATCACATCTATAATAAGAGCCTTCTTCTGGATTCTGAACTGGATGGCCAGTTCACTTGTCGCCGACGAGACACCCTTCTTCAGCAAGGATTCATCCTCCATCATTTGGGTGGGGAAGTGTCCGAGTGCAATCACACACAGAGCAAGCACGGTACGAAGAGCCGCCACTTCAGTTGCGGTACCAAGAGGTGCATCAGAATCAGATGACAGGGACATCAGTGTGCTCAAATCATGTTTCTCCACCATTTCCCTGTCGCTCGTCAGCATCACTCTAACAGCTGCCAACAATCGCCCCTCCACGGGCTCCTGCCCACCAATTGTTACCTTGAGAACAGGAGCTTCTCCATCCAACTTCAGCTGGGATAAGATCTCTTTCTGCCAAGGAGCAGGCGATGAGAAACTTGGAGAAGAAACCCCAGCAGCTGTACTCGCAGCATCCAGAAGCGCGCCATCGAATCTGAGCTCGATGCAGTCATACGGATTCGAAGGCACCACGAATCCATAGTCCAGCAAGAAAAGATCATTGTTCAAGCAACCATAGTTGATCACCAAGGGATCGTCCTCTTCAATTGCAGTCTCTGCAACCACATTTATCAGCATATCATCATTTCCCCCTTGCTCCTGAACAATTCGTGCATTCGGATTGAAGCTATGGTTGCACATATCAATCAGCGGTAGCATCATGGGGATATCAATATCACCATGGCTTCCACCTCCGTGCAAGCGGAATGCCCTCGACGAGACGGCAGACATTGCCCATCCGAGAGACGATGCATCGACGGCTTGCCCCCCAAAAGGGTGATCGCTGCTGCTTGTCTCCACATTGCTGAGAACATGCTTCACCAATTGCTCAAATTCAAGAAGAAACCGGCATCTTTTGTTCACCTGGTGAAGCAGAGGTGCGTACTGAAGATTCTTAATGTCCTCCCCGGGGAAGAAGATGGGCACGCTGTATGCTTCGGGGAGATTGCTGATGTACGGCCACCAGAAAGATCCGACCTGGCTTCGTTCCTGGAGAAGCTTCAACCCCAATTTCATTGCCCATAGCTCCTCGGGGACATGACGAGCCAAATTGGCCAAAACGGAAGGAGCCGCTCCATCGCCGCCGCTGGCGAATTTCAGAGGAATGTGATCGGGAAGAGCAATGAGCTGGGAGCCTTTAGGGATTGGCTGGGAGGCGAAGAGGCCGAATCCGGTAGCGTCGTGCGATATTTTGACGGCCTGGTGGACGAATCCACCTTCACGCTTGACCCACTTGATGAGGTCTGGAGGGTGAGGGGCGAGACGCGAACCGTAGGGAGAGGCTGCAGCGGCGGCGCAGGTGAAGGGGCGGCAGTGGGTTAACGATGCGGCGGTGACGAACTTGGAGGCAGCCATATCTGATCTGAGAGACGAGGTCAGATCAAATTTCTTTTTTAATTTCGACTTAGACACACTAGCTTGTGTAATTGCCAGCAGTTGGTTGCTTGTTTTTGTTGTGCGCGTTCCAAATGCTCTTTGAAAGATATTGTAGGCAAATGTTGTTTTTGACATATCTTTTACTTGTATATTTTATACGACAAAATAACACAACTCAATATATATTTCCCTTATGACCGTACAAAATTTATTTATATTATAATATCAATGTTCGATCGAAAATCTTATTTATTAACTAGGTTTGAGCCCGGCCCATGGCCGAGTTATTTTTATTTTCTCCTTTTCATTTCACTTTTGGTTCGATTTAGTCGTTCGTGTGTCTCATATCTATATTAAGATGACCAACTTCTTATTTGCATTGGTTTTGTCATCCACAATTTTAGTATATTAGGTAGATTAATGTTGAAAGAAAAATATCATCAATGTGAAACAACATAAAAGTAACTAATTTATCTTAGAGCATCAAGGACAATAGGACATAAATAGAAAAGTATAGCGAAAAGAGGGACAATTGATAACACCATATTAGAAACATGGAAGATGATCCATGACCATGATACAGTTGTTTCATGGATGAAGGTTGTACAGTGTTGTGGATCTAATCAATCGAAATCTAAGAGGTCCTAAATAGTATGCTTGCCGCTCTTCAATATAGATAATGGTATTGAATTAACATCTTTGCGAAGAGATTGGCATGAGATCTTATCTTGTTGATGTTATCATGTGGTTCGGCTCAACTTTACTTTCTTATTCAATAGCAAAATCATGCATTCAAGTGATGAAGTTAATGTGGTAAACACATGTAGAAAGATGTGTTGCCCAAACCGCAGTGTTTGCTGTCTTTATATGAATCATAATCCCTACTGCATTGCTAATCGCGATCGAGAAGCATTTCTATTTGAGCCGACCAAGTGTGAACTATCCCATTCGTTTAATTGTAGTCTTCTTTCATTAAGAAACCATGAGAAAAAAACATAACTATTTAGAGTTGAAGTCACTATTTAGAAACTCATGAACTTAACCATGTAATTTCTTTACATAAAGTGTCTAAATATAATTTTCAAATGGGTCTAAAAGTAAAAAGTTTGAGAGATTACCTTGTTTGTGTTGTTGTCATCTCCTCCACAGTTTTTTTTAATCAAATTCCATGAGTTTAATGATAGTGTAGATGTTGGAAATTCTTCTATATATACATTGAAGTTGTGGTGTTTGACTCTGAATTTTATGGTTGTTCTAATGAGTTGGAAGGTTGTTCAATCGGGTGATGCCTACATCATGTTGTCATTATTGATGAACATATTTGCTTTTGTTGTACATGAAATTTTTGCAACCCTAATGTTACATATTTATACGCAATCCTTCGCATTTATGTTGGTATCACCAATCGAATTTTGCAATGACATGGCAATGCTTAGTCATTCTCCAAATGCTCGTTGGTACAATTGTTTGATTGAGGGCCACTGTGACCAGGGTGATTTTGATGACAATTAACTTGTAAGTTGGAATTTTGACAAAGAACTCAAAACAAACTTAGACCTATTAGTCGTATTAAACTATTAACAATGTCAGTGGGCTCCATGTTTACAATCACAATTAGTAGTCTGAACCCACTAACATGACGGCAGAAGGAAGGATTAACTGGAATAAATAAAGAAATATTTGCCTTGCCTACGTCGCCATTGATATTTGTGAAGGGAAAAGGGAGTTGATGGACTGGAGACGATCCGGTAGTTTGATTTGGGAGTCAAGTTCCCGACGGACTCTGCGTAACGGTGATTGACTGTGTTAGCAAAGAATTATAGTTTCAGGTTTCTTGGACTCGGAGCGGAGGACGCCAGGACGGACGTGACTTATTGGCTATTGCGGACTGGGGAGAAAGAGTCCATGTGTACGTTAATGGTGTTTCATGAGATGGGGGTGGCGGTCGGAAACTGAGGCAGAATTGGGGGAAGAAAGACGGGTTTATTTATTGGAGGAACGGGTGAAAACAAAAGGCCGGGAAAACATATAACCACCGCTACCAATTGCAGCCTATTAAAAATTAAAAAATATATAAAATCCGAGAATTACGGGTTGCACTTCAAAGGGTACATGGCAGAGGCACTTTTCTAAAAGTGCTTTATAATATTTTAAGAGAAGAGATGATAGTAGTGTAGTAGTTTGTTTCTCCATTTTAATAGGGGAAAAAATCAATATTTCAAGTATTTTTGTTTCAATTGCATGCATGGACCGATCTACCGCACCCCAAGAGAAAAAAAAAATCCAACCTGAACACGATGGGTTGGATATGGGCATCTAGTATTTACACAACACCAAGGTTGTGAAATCGATTTATACCATTATATTGTTTAGCAAGTGGCCGGGGTACAATCGGTTATATCGCTTCATGTCATTTTAACAAAATATGTAAAAAGTGTGAGGAATCATTAACATCAAATGATTTTAAGCATATATAAAATATATTTCAAGATATGTTCTTATAATCTACATCCATATTTAAATAAAATACAATATTTTTTTAAATGAAAAATACTCATATTCAAATACATAATTTAATGTCAACTTCTAAGTGTTTATATTTGAATCCAACAAATAATATCAACATTTAACTTTCAAGTTTATTAAATAAATTATAAATGAAGTCTTTGTTAATTAAATTGACTAAACGATGTTATTTTGTTTAGAGATTGAAAATCGATCATGATGATCATTTCAGGAGTATTCCAGCCGACTTTATATCCGATACTGTAACCGATTCTACCGGACGACATGCAGACCCTAATTGCTCTATAAATATATTAGGATAAGTTAGAACCTATTATGCAAAGTGAAATTTGAGACAACAGGAACCTTCATGTTATGGCCAACACTGATTAATGCAGCAGCAGCCAGCAAGCAACGAAGGCACAACATTTATATTTATATTTATATAAGATATAAAAGCTGGGTGCACTTTTCATCTAAAAAACCTTGGCTACTGTATCATGTTTTGTCATCATATGTCCAACCTTATCAACCACTTCCTCTTGCTTCGCCCCGTCAGATGCCTCCGCTTCTTTTTGCCCATGGCGGAGGAGAGTTTCTCCCTAGCTCCCCGTACACCAAGGCTATGCTTTCACTTTTGGAGTGCTGAAATGGGGTTTGCGTGCAGATTTGGGGTGACAGAATGGGGCGAGATTTGGGGAATGGGAGTTAGAGGACAATCACTTCACAGGGTCGGAGGAGGCGGACTTTGCGGGTAAAAAGATGGAAGTGTGAAAGCATGGGCCTACTGTACTGAAACATGATGGAGTGGAAAGGGGAAGGTCTGTTCGGCCAAGTCGGTCAGCTATTCCAGAAGCAAGCGGAGGAGGTTGTTGATGGGTGAAGCCAGAGGTAACACTAAGAGAGGTGACTGGAGGAGAGGTTCGCCTTTACCCTATGCACCTTACCGCAAAATCCCTTTCGCACGCCACTTCTTCATTCGTACGTTTTATGTTGTCCTTTAGGTCTGGTTTGCGTTGAATCCCTGCTCCTGCCCTTAATTTCTTCAATTGGCCACACTGTTCTTCTCTTGCCTCCTTTTCCAATAACCTCTTTTACCTATTCTTTGAATCGTTTCCCAGCTTTCCTCGCTCCGCAGATATTGCTCTCTCCCCTTTCGTGCCATCGTTTGCTCCGCCCTTGCCGTTTCCCCGCCGCTTCAACCAGCCATGGCTTCCGGTTTTATAGTTGTTGTCGGGCCTGAAGCAGGGAAACAAGTTGTGCTTTCGAAGCTCACGTGGACAGATAAGTCTCACGTTCTTAGGCTGCGCCTTCTTCACACTTGGGTAGTTGGGTTGCTGGAAACCCAGCTCGGCCTGATGGGTTTTTCGAGCTTTTCCATACTCTGAACATATGAATTGGTGAATTCCATGCTTTTTTAGTCCCTTTGCCTCATGAAGTATGTCTAACCTGGTTTCCACCGTCGTTACTTTTCTGTTTAGTGCGTGATGGTGCAACTTGCAAGGCCTGGCCCCGCTGCAACTGGCCGAACAGCTCCGAGAAATGGTAATTATTGGGAGGGTCTAACCTGGTTTCCACCGTCGTGCTTCATGGCCGAACAGCTCCGAGAAATGTGTTGGGCCTCAGCCCACTTGCGCCGCGACAGAGCAAGTCACAGCCCACTCAATCAAAGATGCCCGCAGCCCAAAAGAAGTCAAGAAGCGTCTTCGCCATTCATCCCCAAAATCGTCAAAGGACATCAAAGCCTCGAGGAAGAACACTTCCCTGTTATTCCTCATCAGAAACCATTTTCCCCGAAGAAATCGTCCAACGGTCTCATCATTCAAGAAGAGAGAGACAAGATCGCAAGATTCATGCCGAGAAATTCTATAAGAGGCGATGCTCTTGAGGACGAAGGCAACGGTTTCCACTTTCGGAAGAACGGGTCAGTTCTTGGGATAGATGGTTAGGGTTCCTCAGATTAAGTGTCTGGATTCGTAGAGTTGGGGCTTTGGCCAGGGACTCTACGTAATCTGGGCATAGCTCTTAATCTGGCTTGCCTGTGTATCTCTGCTTTCTTCATTTTCTTCTTGCTGCATTTGGTCGAAACTCTGTCTAAACTTCTTAGTTGAATTCACGCACTGTATTCATTTTACAATTACAAATGGAAATGAATTAGGACTTGGCAACAACAATTGGTATCAGAGCCCCCTTGTCGTGAAACGAAAGTTGCCGATAAGGAGATCCTGTGCCTCGCCATGTCATCTAACTCATTTCCCACCAGCTCAAACCCTCCGTGGTTTTCTGGTTCTAATTATTCTGTATGGAAAAAGAGGATGAGACTTTACCTCCGAGGAATCGACTGTGAACTGTGGGCAATTGTCCGAAATGGACCAATTGACATGAAAGAAGACGATGAGGAGGATTGGTCAAAAGAACAAATGAAAAGTGCTCAACTAGATTCTAGGGCAATGCACATTTTGCTTTCTGCTATT